AATCACTCTTGCCAACAAGTGCTACTTTGGGCTGAGTAGGCAATTGAGAAGTAAAGTCCTCTCTCGTCGTACAAAGATCACACTCTATAAGTCACTCATCATGCCTGCGCTGGTGTATGGCGCGGAAGCATGGACAATGAAAGCATCTGATGAGGCGGCTCTTGGAGTTTTCGAGAGAAAGATTCTGCGAAAGATTTACGGACCTTTACGCGTTGGTGATGGCGAATATCGCAGACGATTTAACGATGAGCTGTATGAGCTTTACAACGATATAGACATAGTGCAGCGAATTAAAATTCAGCGGCTCCGCTGGCTTGGCCATGTCGTTCGGATGGACAGAAACGCTCCTGCTCTGAAAATATTCAACGCGGGCCGCGATGCTGGGAACAGAGGAAGAGGAAGGCCTCCTCTGCGTTGGAAAGACCAGGTGAAGAAGGACTTGGCTTCACTTGGCATTTTCAATTGGCGTCAGTTAGCACAGAAGAGAAATGACTGGCGTGCTGTTTTGGACTCGGCCAAAATCGCTTAGGCGGTTACAGCGCCAAATAAGAAGAAGAAGATACTCTAAACTCTTGTTTTTAAGATCCAAAAAGAAAAAAATGGTCTATCCAATTTTGACAGTCGCTATCGATTTTTTTCTCATTTTGAGTTAATACCGCAGACTTCGTATTTCTGCAAACTACCGTTTGCCCATTTTTAATACCATCCGCCCTTACCTCAAAATAAGGACGTACCAAGTTTCGTGAAATTATCTAAATTTTTACTCGAGTTATCGTGTGCATAGACGGACAAACAATCACCATTTATGTACAGATATTGTATTAGTTTATATCTTTTTCAATTCTTGGAGACTGTTACAAAAAACCGTTATGTGAACAAAGTTATACCTATAATACAAGTGTTTTAATAAATCTCGAATTCTAGACCACCTAGCGGATTAATGCTTTTTTATGTTGCATTATAGTCGGGTTCCGAGCTAAGTTTAAATTTTCAAGTATGTAACTCATCGGGAAGTGGATACAACTTTGCATCTTTATTCGACATCGTCGCCCATTCTACGCCCTATAAAATTTTGGGCACGATGAGAAATCTGTTCATAGAACATATTTTTATTCGACGAGAAAAGGCTCTGCTTTTGACAAGAGCCATGTTTAGATTGATCTCCATGCACGCATTATTCATGGTGTTAATGCTGCAACCCAAGTGGAATAAGTCTATCGCGTGTCCAAAATTGTAACGGACAACGAGGGCTTGTGTCCTAATACGAAAATACTTTTTTGTGTTTTAGATGTATTTCGTCTTCGTCCACTTCTGCCGCTCACGCTGCCGCTGCGGTTCACTACTACTTATCACGCTTCCCAGCATCAATTTTCGGAAGACGCACGAGAGTGAGTTGCCTTCCTAATATTATATCTCGTTTCGTCTCAAATGGTGCGGCGACGTCTTCCCAGTGGAGACGGACGTCAATATATGTATATATATATCAGTAATAGGTTTGCGACGATCCCAAAATTAAACATTTCGCCTGGTTAATAGTGATTTTTTTTAGATAATAAGCTCCAGGGAATTTGTTCATGAAAGACTTCAGGCCTTCACACAGAATTGTTAATTACCTACTATGCAATACTAAGAAAATAAAAAAATAATACTTTTAATATAATTTCGGGAAACAGTGCTATCTTTCTTCTCGTGGATTGGAAAGTGTACTACGATTGCAATCTTCGGATATGTTCTTATGAGACTACGCTCTGAAGTGTACCGTCAATATCTCCAATGAATTCCGAATATTTGCTCCCGAACTGCCATCTTTGCTTTTGCAGGAATTACCCATAGTCTTGAAACCGTTCGATTACAGCCTACTTTTTTTCTGATAGAATTTTAAACTCTTCGCACTCATGTTTTTTTTCTCTTGAAAATAGGTCCCTCTTCCCTTCTTTTCTTGTGCCTGCGGGTGGACAGCGGCGTGGCATACCAGTTATTTTTGCCCTTCAGGAACGCTCTGATCACAAAATGATAAATTGAGTTCTGTGTTCTTCGATCAAATACTACTATAATATAATAATACTAAATACTAACTACCATGTTCCGTACCGCGGCAAAGTAGTTCCTATATCTTAAACTTTTAAATTCCTATTAAAAACACATTTTATTATTATTTGAAAAAAAAAATACTGTATCATTAACTACTGCGGTGATGTAAGCCTTGTATTTTGTGCGGACATCCTTCAGTTGGACAGAGGTGAACAGACACTGCTAGCTTCAGTGAGGCCTTAAATCAAATAAGTCGCAGTTTATTCGTGTAATTCCATCTGCACTCTCTTCATTCTTCGCTTCTGAGTAAATAAAGCCATACAAATTTCACAATTTCATATTAATACGGATAACTTTTTACTGCCCTTGCAATCCGGTTAACTAAGAACTCTGCTTAATTGGCACGAAAACCCTGGCACGTTTTGATTTTAGATTTTACAAAACACATTCCATCCGTTATTTAAGACTTTGACTAAATGAAAAAAATCGGTTAAATGAAACAACATTTATGTCCCGAAATTCGAAAATACACTAGGTTCAGATCGGTTTAAATGCAACTGTTTGTTCAACTCAAATTATAACAACCCGCTTCAAGCAAACTGCTGTTTCGGCTGTATAAAAATAGTATTTCTGAAATCCTTCTGGAGTAGAAGCTTGACCCTGCATGCATATGTTTTAATAATAAAGAACTTTTTATATTATTACCCTCTACATAATTGAATTCTTTGCTTTAACAAAATCACCTTGAATAAACCAGCATGATAAGCAAATAACGTTCAATATTTCATTAATAAAATTTACAGTTGCTCATACTTCACACCCTCAACGACTCTCTGAGAACTCAAGTTCTTCACACTTTCATACACATTAAAGAAAATTCGAGAGTGCACATGCTTGCACTATCTTTCTTGCCACTTGAGGGCTTCAAGCAGTTGCCACTATACCTATACAGTCAGCCTTACACCTTACACGTGCAAACACACATTACTCACTTATTATAAGCCAGCCAACAACCAGCTACATACATACACCCACCACTTTAGCCAAGAACTGAAAGAAGGTTCAAAAACCCCAACGTTCGAATAAAACACAACTAAAATTCAAGGCAGAAAATAAGCGCTTCAAACATGTTCGCAGTTTGTGGTATGAAGCCAACATGGCGACAGCGCCAAATGGGAGGGAGCCAATGTGCCACCGGCGCCAAAACTCTTATACGCAACTTGGACATGCTGCGCCAATTGACGTGGAGCGCATGTATAAAACGCAAAGCAACGCAACGAATCAGTTCATTTGGCGTTCATTTCGTGTGTGTGCGTGACGCGTAATCGGTGACCAGCGTAGCGGTGACAAGGCGGTGCTAGTCAGCGGCAGTTTTAGGGGAAACGGTTTATTTTCATAAATATCAGTCAACATAAGCAGATGCACACCGACGCGACACATCAGTTGCTACGAATCCGTTCAAACGAGTTGTCGGCGTTTCTCGCAGGTGAGCGGTCTCCCATGCGCACGCTTTTGGTGGATTACGCGACGCGTTTCGACGACTTTGATGACTTCTCATAACTAAATTTGGCATCGACGTTAGTGCAAAGGCTAAGTTGGCCAAGTAATTGTTGCAAAAAAAAAAAAACGAAAAATAATATTTAGCTCACGGTCAAGTGGCGATTGATTGTGTTGAGTCGCATTCAACGGATTTAAGTTGGTTTTGACATTTGCCAAAAGTGTTTGTTTGTGATTGTGTGCACATGGTGTACAGTGGATATACAAATATGTATATTCAATACTTAAATAATTGTAATAAAATAGAAAAAATATTTGCTGAAAGTCTTAAAAAAAATTAAAACTTTCGCATCATAAATTAATTTATTTTCTTCTTAAAACTTTGTCATAAATTTTAATTGCTCTTATCTAATCATATCAGTGCGTTTTGGCTAAAGTTTGCCAGAAAGTGTGTCAATAAATATGTACGTACATATTTAGAAATGCAGACAGATATACGTACATGCAAACGTATTAAATGCAACACAGCTAAAAGTGAATCGCTCAGTTATCAGTAGCGGCCAAAATTTGTCTGTGTATTAGTGAAAGAGTCCTCCGGGGCGTATGAGTGTAGAAATTCTTGCTTATTTGAAAATCAAACATATACTTATATGTACATGGTGTTTATACTATAGCATACATAAGTATATCCATAAGTATTTTGAGAAAAAAATCGCATAGAAATTTGACAAATAAATTGAAAATATTGTGAACCCAATAAATATGTCAACTGCAGCCTAGACCAAAAAATCGCTATCTTCAGGTATGAATGCCAGTTAAAATGGTTATGTGTAATAAATAGGTGTATGTGATTTCGTTTTCAATTTGCTATGAACAAGACATCTGAATTCGATGTTATCGATTGTCATAAAGCACTTGCACATTCGTCGTACTTGTGAAATTCTAGATAAGTGAACACCTCTTATGTACATACATATGTACATTAGACAGCATCACCAAAAAAAGTTGCGGTTTTTCCGCCAGGATTACAAAATCTATTATATTTTAAGACGTCCACCAAAATATTTCGGAAAAATTTTAAGATTTAAGTGAGCTGGACCGATTTGAAAATACCTCCAAAAATAGAGTTTTTTATGAATAAAAATAGTTTCTTAAAGAACTTTTTGAAAAAAGTCCCTTCAGATGACAAACCAGATTAAGCTTAAAAAATCTGCATAAAAATTTTTAAAAATATTTTCAACGGAATCGTAAGAATGAGATTTTTGATGCGGTTTTTTAACTATTTTCAAAGATTGAATAACTTGGCCAAAACTATTCTGATTTAGACTTATGGGATCTCAGTAGAAAGGTATTTTCACACTGTTTTTATTTAGGTCCAAAAAAAAATCATTTGTGTCCCAATTTTTTTTTCAACCACCAAAACATCTTAATTCAACTTCGATTGACGTTCGTTCATCCTACCTTTCTCTTTCATCCTTTGAATGAGTTTATTAGCAAAGAAATACAAAGGGTGAGAAAATACCTTTCCACCGACACCTCTTAAGTCTAAATCAGAAGAGTTTAGGCTCAGTTATTCAAGTTTTCTTACACCAATCTTTGAAAAAAGTTAAAAAACAGCATCAAAAATCTCATCATTACGATTCCGTTAAAATTTTTTTTAAATTTTTTTTTTAATGTTTTTATGCAAAGTTTTTGAGCTTAAACCGTTTTGACATTTGAGGGGATTTTTTCAAAAAAAATTTTAAGAAACTATTTTTATTCATAAAAAACTCCATTTTTAGAGGTATTTTGAAATTGGTCCAGCTCACTTAAATCTTAATATTTTTTCGAAATATTTTGGTGGACGTCTCAAAATATAATAGATTTTATAACTCCAATGGAAAAATAGTACCGATTTTTTTTTGTATGGGGAGTGATGCAGTCTAATGTACATATATAGCTTCCGGCAACATTAAAAAGCAATTAAAAGATACCGTTCCAGTAAATTTCTAGTGAAATTAACTTTACATTACAAATGCTTTTATTTACTCAAAGTGTAATTTAGTGCGAACAGAATATGTACAATAAAACACGAACAACTACAGACACAGTAACAGAAAATACTAATATTTCCAATCCAACACAAATTGTCTTTCAACCCATCTACGCATTTTTGAAATTCCAACGCGCCTTTATACTTACATTGACCGCCCTTGTCCATAAAAAACTTGTATTTTTATTGGAACCTCGTTAAGGTAATTTTCCCTAAGCTTTGTTTAGTTTTGTGCTAGACCCCGAAGCCGGCGCCCTCTCCTCATCACAATACTTACTCTAGGCCTACATCCCTCAAAAACAGCAGCATCGCGTTCGACCGTAGGGAGTGGATTTGCTCAATCTGTGGCCACATCGAGCCTAGATTTCCTTCGCATCAGTGGTGCATCATACTCGATAAGAATATGTTGTGGCGTCTCGCTGGTCGAGTTGCACAGCCGGCATATATCATTTGTCCATATTCCCTGCTGTTAGAAATACCATCTAGCGAAACGTTGGTGTCCTTGTCGTGGGGCTAGATCTTAAGTGGTGACATGGGGGCCCTTAGGGGTTTCCATGTCGGCATGAACTACCAGGGATGCTCCGAAGAGAACCTGTGTAGGACATGTGCTTACGCAGTTTCCGATGTGGAGATTACCGTACCAACGAGCCCAGGGGGGTTCCGCATTGCGGGGCTACGGGTGTCACAATCCCGGGTACCCTAGTCAAAGGCTACCAATCCTGAGTCGGTCAGAGGCTCAATTGGTAGAAGAGTCTACGACTTTCGGAAGTCATACCTAAGACTTTAAAAGAGGAACCGCGGGCGAACAGATGCCCCTGGAGTGTGTTCGCTGGCTAGATAAGCAAAGCCATTGAGACGAACAAGGTCGACAGACCGGCCAGATGCACATGTAAAATCATATAGCTAGGAAGTTCTGCAAGGAGGAATGTGGCTCGTCAAGCTGCTTGAGTAGATGTAGAAAACCTGAAAGGAGCGATTCCATGCCTATTGTACACCCGGGCTGGAATTTATTCCCCAGTAAGGCTAGTAGGACCTGCGAGGGTAGCGAGACGAGCAGAATGAATCAGGTGAGTCAAGTGACTTGAGCAAGGGTTAAAAGTCGATTTTCACACCGGATAGGGACACCGGGGTGAAATGAGATTAGTAAGTCTTGTGAGAGGAGCGAGACGAGCTGAATGATAATGCTGAAAACTGCTGTAACTGTGGAAAATGTGGAGAAAAGGTTGAAAACACGGTGTAAATATTTGAGGTAAACCGTGGATTGGTGAATATGTGATATAAGCAGACCTTCTTAGTTGTACGGTTGAGCATGTATATTCTGGTATGTTTAGTAGGTTGCGTGACTCGAGCTGGTCAAGCAAGTCTGGCTGGTGAGCACTTCGGGGAGTGGTTTAATACCAAAGGCGGTAGAACTCAAAAAGGGTTCGATGTGGAGTTGCATTGCAACCGGGTGCCGGGACCCAAAGAACGGCAGAGACTTTAGGTAGGTTTCGGCCTCACCAAGGTGGTTAGTGTGTCCTCCCACACTGCCTTTGGAACTGAAATGCTTGCATTTCAGGGCAATGATTAAGGCAAAAATTAATCCGTTGTGCCAAATGCGGGTACCGTGATTAAAGCCTTTTGGCAGGTAATCACGTAAAGCCTATATGCATCTGTTAGAAATACCGTCTTAGTCTTCTATGCCCTGCAAAGATAACTGTTAGTATTCTAGGTATCTCCTTTGGAAGGTTAATCAAGTTTTGTGATCTCTTATCGTTGTACCCTCTTAGTAGACTATTTGCTTGCCGTAGTGCTACTGAGCCCCGACAGTTGAGATCCCTTAGGCCGTTCGTCTTCTTTCTGAGCTCTTCCTTAAGAGTATTAGTACTTACTCCCAGGAACGGCTCGGGTCCAATTTTAGTGATGTCTGCCGTCTCTCTTACGAGGCAGTCCGCCGTCTTATTAAACCCTTTTCCCCTATGGCCGAGTGCCCATTCTAAATGGATGTTGATTCGCCTACCTTGCGAGTTAAGTTTCTCAATACACTAAGGACTAGTGATGATCAAATTTCTAATATAAAAAGAGAGCCTTAGTCTATGCCTGGCTATCGCTTATGATCCTCTCGTTTCGGTACCCTTTATATGTCCGGAAACATAAAGACGGCGAAAACCTTTCTACGTAAGATCTATGGCCCTGACATAATGTAATAATAATAATATTTTGGCGCTTACACTTTTGCTAAGTGTTTAGCCAAGCTTTTCCTGACATAGTTAAGCGTGTAAAAATGCAATGGTGCTCTGGCTTGGTCAAGTCGTAAGCATGAATGCTGATTCTCCGGTGAAAAGATCCTTCGACTCGAAAGCAAAGACGTCCGTGGGCACAATGGAAGGACCAACTACACAAAGACCAGTGTGAACTCGGGATGAACTACTGGCGCAACTTCGCGAAGGGGAAAGGCATTTAACGAAGTTCTTTGGTCTCGGCCCAAATCCAAAAAGTGGTTGTAGTGCCAAATAAGAAGAAGAATATTCCAAACCGAGGTACGTGCAAGGTCATGGACTTCGTGGTGAAAATAGGTCGAGGACAGAAGCTTATGTGTCTTTAGCAATTGCCAATCTACATTCAAGGTATTTTCCAGGCCTCTTCGAGTACTTCTTCGGCAATGCAACTCTCCACTAAGTTACGATGAAAAAGTCCATGTGCGTGGTACTCGAGAGTACCTGTTAATGAAATATCTGACCATTTAGCTAGCCACCGTCAGAAACTTGGTGAATTTTTCGGTCAACAAGATTAATGTTTCCTTCAATCTCTGAAGGTCCCTCTAGATATTTGCATAAATTTATCATGAGTGTAATCGTCACGATCCTGAACGAGGAACTATCTACGAAAAAAATCTTATTTCGAATTATAATAAATCTGAACGTGTTGCTTGTCTCGTATTTCCATATGATGACAATCGTAACATAAAATAATTTCTCTAGAATAAAGGACACATACATTAAAGGGAGGGTATTATAATTCTTTTCACAACTTTTGCTTTCATTCTTGTAGTTTTCTAAAAAAAATCCACTTCAGTAACCACTGCAGCTGGAAAATAAAATTCAATTACTGTGACCTCAAAATCTACCGTGACTTGAATTAAAATACTTTTGTTTTCATATGTCAAAGTCACAATTTATTCAGACGACTGACGGGTTGCGTAGTTTGGGATCGATTGTCTACTCTTTCACGAACGTTACGGTTCGAGCCCGGGCAACTTTTGGCTTTGCTGAGTCGTTACTTTTCGTGGCTTAAAAAACTGACTATCATCGGCATAAAGACAAGCCCATTTTACCTTCCTCCTTGAAGAGGATGAGACCGCGCCTTTGAGGCTTTTAGTAGCGATGTATTGAGCGAAAAACTAATGAGCTTTTCTAAGTTAGTGTAGACTTAAAACAATTATTTAAAAGGAATATGAAAATGCTACAATGGATGGTAATTCGTGATTATGAAAAATAATATCATATTTGGGTATAAAATCCTACTTTCAAAGAAGTTGAGGACTTTTTACGATTTTTGCATACATTTTTATAAAAAAAATATATTCACAAATCATCGCGAAATTTCTATTATTGCTATCGTCGAAAATTCCATTACCGACGAGTAAAAACTGCTTTACGACCGAATTTAAATGTAAACATCCGGTTAGGTCAGCATAAGTTGACATGATTCCACGTCATCATAGGTCATAAAAGCATAAGGTGATAATAACCTTCCTAAAGTAGATTCCAATCGGATTTGCTTAACTCTAG